ATCGCAGAAGTAGCCGCCATGGGGACAGATGACTGGAGTGCAGCCAGGACTGCAGATCAGCCCGCCACAGAGGATCACTACGGTAGTTGTGTTCTGGGCCGGGGCTAGTGTACTAGGAATCTTGTTGGTAGGGTAGCCAACATCCGAGACCGGAGCAGTCTTGTTGCAGACATACTCAGGGTCAGCGATATTGGCGTAGGCGGCGCAAGAAGAGTTCTACTGGGAGTAAGTCAAGTGTGCACACAACGGACGGGACGATCAGTGACGGGGCCTACAGTCGCGGTTGGACAGTCCTGGGCAGAGCAGATGCTCTGATAGTGTGCGCCTTGAGTCTCAATGATTGTTTCTGAGGGCAAGCAACGGTAGTTGAAGTAGCGGTTCAAGGCCAAGCCAACAGGGGCAATGTCTTCAGGGGTAACACCGAATGATATGGCGGCGGCGGCAACCTGCTCGATGAAGTAGGTGACCTCAGCAGGGTGGAGATTCATGAACCTGTTCAAGTCAGCATCTCCAGATGCAAGTGGAGGAGTGGAGGAAACGTACTTGTGGACAGTGTACATCGAAGAGAGCCCCTGGTATTTGGGGAAGGCTGATCCTTGCCCGCCTTGTTGAGAGCAGTCCAGGAGCATGCCAAAGTATTGGTACAGATGGGTCAAGAGGAGGTATTGACGTGTACCAATGCCGTTCGATGGCTTGCCCATCCCGAGAGGAGCAGCTCCGCCGTCTAGAGCGGGTCAGCAATATCACCAGAAGTCATGGGATGGATGGGTGGAGAAATGGGTGAGGCTCCCAGATATGCGTACCATCAAGAAAGTCGATGGCTTGACCCACGCCATTCCCACGGTTAGTCGAAGCGAAACAGCCATTAAAGTATGGAAGGAGGTCAACCTTCTCCCCATTGACGACGGCGGGAGCAAGGATGCCCGGGACGGCCACGCCATTCTGAGTTTCGCTGTCTGGGATTTGAATGTGGTCAGCGAGAGGATAGAGAGGGGGCAGAGGGGAGGCAGAAGGGCAGAAAGATGGAAGGGCAGAAATTTAGAAAGGGCCTACAGTTACCAATGACTGCAGTATTGACGACGGCAGTCAACAACTTGAGCTGATTCTCGGCAGTATTGTTGTGGAACAGGGCCGTGGTGTACTTGTCGCAGATGCTGATGGAAGATTTCTGGGCAGCAACGGTGCCGACGGCGGCGACCATGAGGGGAGACTTCAAATGCATGGCTGCGGGAGCAATTGGATGCAGCACGATGAGGAGATATTGAGAGAAGATATAGGATGGGATGTAATACCAAAATCGATGGAGCGGAGCAACGTGGTTGAGAAGCGGATGATGGTTGATGGATGAGAAGAGAAGAAGGAGAAGAAGAAGAAGAGGAAGAAGAAGAAGAAGGGCGGCTTTTGTAGAGAGGAGGGGAGGCACTAACACACCCACTAAGCAGTGCTGCAATTGGGGAAGGAGCTATGCCAGGAGAGTCAGGATGGTCAGATTCATTGCAAGCAGGGCAGGAGCGAAACGACCAGTTGTCCTACATATTCCTCTCTTCTCTTCTCTTCTCTTCTCTTCTCTTCTCCTCTCGAGCCAGCAGTGCGACTGAAGGCTTGTCCGTCCCTGCAATCTTTGACCGTTGAGCCCACCCCCCCTCCAAAAAGAAGAAGGAAAAGTACGCAAGGGGATGCAGGAGCAGACATGAAATTCCGAAAAAGGAGTAATAGCACAGTGACATTGCGGAAATATTCGTAACATATCATATCCTACACGGTTTTTTGCTTCGATGCGATATTCATCGTCGTTCAACCCCCAATCTCTCCCTTCACCCACTTCTCCAACCCACCCCTCGCGATAATCTCCTGCACATTCGGCGGCAACTCGCCAACTTTCTGGCTCCAGGTCGCGCCGCCGGGCCCTTCCGTAATCACCACCTTGCTCCTCTTGACGTCCCACAAGAAGGTCCATCCTGTCCTGCGCGTCAATACCTTCTCCTCGGCAGGACGCGCCTGCGGTGCTGGCGGTGGGCTGTCCAGACTGTCCTTGTTGGCCGATGGCTCTTTGACATCGGTCTTCGCCTCCACCTTCGGACTCGAGAAATGCTCCCTCAGTCTCTGCACCAAGCGGGGAACTTCGACGCCCATGAGAGCATTGTTGATGCTATTTCTTGCAAAGATGTTGCCGAAGCTACCAGAGACCACGAGCGGGATCTTCTTGGCGAGGATAGCCGTCGCGGCTTGTTCTCTTGAGCTACCGCACCCAAAGTTGAATCCCGAGACCAGGATATCGCCTTCGCGGGCGATAGATCCGAATGCGGGATCGTAGTTCTCCATACAGACCTCCGCCATCTTCTCAATCGAGACACCGTCTTGGTAAGTGTATTTTCCGGGGTAGATACCGTCCGTATTGATGTTGTCTGCGTCGCAGAACACAATTTCTCCTTCCACGCGCTCGGGGAAGCCAGGGAGGATGGCAGTCACGGCATCATCGGGTGATTCCTCGGCAGACTCGGATTTTTTGCCAAGGATCTCTTCCTCCGCGGTGCCGATGATAGAGTCAGCTTGCGCAATTAGTCGGTCAAGAGCCTCCTCGATGCTGATAGCCTTGTCCTCTTCAGCAATACCATTCCCTTCCCCCAGGACGACTTTCTCGACACCGATGGGTTTTTCGTACCACCCTGGCCCGCAGATCTTGCCGCTCAGCGCACTGGCTGCTACGACTTCCGGACTGGCGAGATACGCCTTGGCATCTGGCGATCCCATGCGTCCCTTGAAGTTCCGGTTGCTGGCACTGATCCCGACTTCTCCTGGCTCTAGCAAGCCCGTTCCAAGGCCAATGCAGGGCCCGCATCCCGCTGGCAAAACCTTGGCTCCCGCGTCGATCAGTATTTGCCAGTCGCCGGCGTCTTCTGCCACCTCTTGCTCTGGAATCGATGCAGCAGCGATGTAGAACTCGACGCCCGGGGCGATCTTGGCCGGGGTGCCAGATACAGATGCCTCCTGGAACACTCTGGCGGCAGCTGCCAGATCCGAAGCTCGAGAGTTGGTGCAGGATACCAGATATGCCTTGTGCAGCTTGATCTCCTGCGCCTCTAGATCCCGCAATGGTGTAGCGACCTTGACCGAGTTGGGTCCAGAAACATAGGGAGAGAGGGTCGAGAGGTTGAGATAGAGTGACTTGGCGTAGGCAGCTCCCTTGTCTGCCGTCAGCTGGTTCTGGATCAAGTCGTTGATCCTCTCATGCGAGAACTTGGACCTCATACCCGGCTCATCGTACAGCGCCGAGGTCGTAGCCTTCGCTCGCATCCAGGCCTGCAGCATCGAGTCAATTGGGAACAAGCCAGTCAGCGCTCCCCACTCCGTCGTCATGTTGGCAATCGCCAACCGGTCGTCCACCGGCAGACTGCGCATGGTCTGTTCCGATCCGGTAAACTCGATGGCATGGTTGAGCACCTCGTCGTTATTGAACAGGCCGCACAGCGCCACGATCACATCCTTGCCCGTGACGCCCTTGGGCAGAACGCCGGTCAAGGTGACCTTTGCGATGGGGGGGATCTGCCACCAGGTCTTGCCTGTCGCCCAGATACTCGCCGCATCCGTCCTGACCATGGCCGTGCCGAGACAGCCGACCCCCCCATACATATTGCTGTGACTGTCACTGGCAACGGTCATGGTCCCGGGCCACGCATATCCCTCCTCGACCATGATCTGGTGCCCGATTCCGCGTCCCGCCGGATAGAAGTCCACGCCTTGCTTCTTCGCAAACTCCTCGATCTGCCTGTACTTCTTCAGATTCGCCTCGCTCGTGTTCTGCACGTCGTGGTCCAGGGTCATGACAATCTGCTTGGGGTCGTGGATCTTGCTGGCACCGATGGACATGAACTTCAAGGCCACCGGCCACGAATTGTCGTGCGTCATGCAGTGGTGGGGGGAGAGGGTCACATAGTCGCCGGACTTCACGACCTTGCCGTCTGGCAGGCCGAGGGAGTATCTCTGGACGATCTTCTCGGTGAGAGTCTGGGGGATGCTGGAGGCGGGTTTGAATGAAGAGAGGATCGCCGCCGAGGAGGGGTCGGTGGCCTGGGCGTGGAAGACATCTTGGGAAGGCTGGGGGGCGGTGGAAGTGAGGTGCCGTGCCTGTCGTAGGCTGGCACGGGGGGCGCGGAGCGGTGCAGGGCGAGGGAGAGCGAGAGGGAGGGAGAGAGGGAGGAGAAGGCTGCGAGATGATGGCCTGGCCCGCCGAGGCAAACCTTGCAGACCGAGTCGTCGCTGCAGGTATGGGGATTAGCAATTGAATTGGGAGGGGAGCAGTGCCCGACGAGGCAATTGTGAGGATGTAAATTCCTAACTCACTGGGATCATGTTGGGGCGCAGCGACACGCGATCAACAGATGTGGTCGTGGGTGTAACTCCGTCAGTAGAGTAGAAATCTGCACCCAGATATCGATATCGATTTCCCCGGATTAACTACCTACTTTAATTTTTCTCCGTCATCCCCTATCACCCGCGAGGTGATTGGTCGGTCGGCCTCCGTCGGTCCGAGACGATTATCCGGCCGGCACGGGTCTCGGAAAAAGGAAAGTCCGGGCGCAGTCAATGTCGGGCAAGGGATGGATGGGTACAGTTGTCTTTCGCAGAGGCCACCGGCCATGCAAGGTGAGTCGGTACAGTAGGTAGTAGTAAATGTACTCCGGATCCGAAGATACACCTCTCCATCAGGGAGTCGTGGGTGTGCGCTCTACTCTGTCCTACTAGAGTGTCGCGTAGCGGCCCTGGTCTGTGTTGGGGCCCACGACAGCAGGCGAGGAGGACTAGAGTACCGGTAATCGATCACTTTTTGGTGGGGCCGAGAAGGTGTGGGTGTGGTCCATAACTTGGGGGTGGGTAAGCCCAGAGTCAGTGCTTCACTTCCACTTCCACTTCCACTTCCACTTCCACTTCGACTTCCACCTCCCCTTCCACCTCCCCTTCCAACCTCCCCTCCCAAGTTCCAACACTCTTGCCTCCGCCAAGAAGAGCAATCTCTGGGCTCCCGTGGCAGGTCCAGGGCCCCGTGTCAAGCTTGAGGAAAGCAGCCGCAACCTGGGATCTGGCGTACGCTGTACCGTGGTCCGTACTGGTAGCACAGTACTGGTAGCACAGTACTGGTCGCACTCTCGGTGCTACTAATCTCGGTACCACGTCAAACACCCGTCGGACCTATATTACCCATCATTATTCTTTCTTTCAACCCCTTCGCCCCCTTCTTCCTCTTCTACTTTTATTCTTCGACTCTAATTCTATTTTCGTCCCTTCTTTCTGTCAACCCCCACCCTCGTTTCAATTCACACCAATCCATCCACGCCAGAGTGCCAGAGGCCCGAGACGTGACGACATACCGACGGCGGTACCACCTACCTCCTTATTCCCCGAATCCAACCCGTCTCAACCAGCAACACCTCAACATCTCAACACCCCAACCCCTCAACCTCGCCTCTCGAATGATACGTACCCTACGATGCACCCTCCCGTCCGACCATGAAAGAGAGAGACAGCCACCACAACCACAAACACGACAACATCTCAAACATCTTGAGCCACTGCACCGCAACGCTCCCAGCACATTCACTTTGTCCCCGTCGCTCTCTCACGGCCAGGCCATGTTGTACTCCCCACTCGCCCTCCCAGAATCGAAATCGACCCCGAGGAACTGTTGAGTAGAGTCATGCGCGCTCTGTACAACATCGACCAACGCCGACAGCTGCACAGCCCCGAGGAGGGATACTAACGACGAGCGAGAAAAAAATCTCCCTCCCCTCCCCACCCCATCCCTAAATTTAGCAAAACCATGGAAGGCAAACCAGTGCTGTCCCCCAGGTTCCCGCGGTTTGCGCCTCCTCGACCAGGCCTCTGCCGATCCAACTCGCGCTCTCCAACTCGACCATCCAAACTCGCAGACGACATCCTCTCGGATCTCTCGCCGGCGACCACCCTTGAAGCCTTCACCAATCCCTCTGGAAAGCTGAAAGCCAGTATCGAGGCGGCGACGCCCAGCGAGAGAGCTTTTGGATTACGGGCTACACTTGCCTCAAATAAGATACAGGAATGGGTAGAAGAGCTGTCAGGTTGGCCATGGCCGGCGGAGGGAGGATCTGCCGGCTTCGAAATGCCCGTTACGGAGAGGAGGCGACCGTCCACACCAGACGGAGACCAGGAGGCGCGGCGCAACAGCAATCATGGGAGCGAACACAACCAGGAACCAAAATACATCGGAAGTCTTCTCTCAACCGAAGTGGAGCGCTACGAGAACCGAATCGACGACATCGCCATGGACATGGAGGATCTGGATGTCGAGGCCATCAAGCGTCGGGTCCTGGATACGCATTTCTCGCCGAGATCCCGCCCCTCGTCTTCGGGCTCGAATGCGTCTCCTATGTCTTCTCTTTTCGCCTCGTACATCCGCATGGATGATTTCACCGCGGTTATTACGGCGACGGTGCTACAGTCTCTGCCGATTCTGAGCAAGCTGACGCGCTTGATGGAGAACTGGAATGTACGTTTGACTGTCCTCCGGCACATACCACCACTGGTCTGGGCACTGGACGATGCTGAGGTGGCACTGAAGAGTGGTTGGGCGACCATTGGGACACCGGAACAGAGTCCCGCTGGAAAGGAACAACAGCCGCACCTTTCATACCTCACCCGGGAGACCTTTGAAATTATGCGAGGTGTTCTGCAGGAGAAAGTCACACGGTTGGGCCAGGACCTGGACTTCTTGCTGGATACCCTGGAGGGGCGGCAAGACACACTGCCTGAGGCTTGGTTGGATAGAATGGAGACCCTCGAGAATGATTACGGACTATGGGTCGTTTCTGGGGATCGCAAGGTCAGGGAGGGAGAATGGGCTAGGATGGCCAAGGCTAGGCAAGAGGAGGAAGATGCCAGGAAATTGAGGGAAGCCGAAGCTGCAGAGACGGCGAGGAGGAATGCCGAGGAAGAAGCGGAGGAGGCTGCACGGAAGAGAGCAGAAAAGGGTGCCGAAGAGGCGGAGATTGCCAGATTGAAAGCTGAGTGTGAGGCGGAGGAAGCTGCTCGCCTGCAAGCCTCAAAATTAGCTCAAGAGGCCGAAGCAGCGCGACACGAAGCCGAGCAAGAGGTCCGAGAAGCGGCGCAGCAGCGAGCGTTGAGAGGTGCCGAAGCTGCCAAGATCATAGCAGAGGACGAAGCCCGAGAAAGTGCCAGGATACAAGCTCTGAAGAGCCGAGACGAAGCTGCTCAGTCGAGGGCGGACGAGGAGACTCTGGAGGCTGCTAAACAGAAAGCTGTGCCAGTTGCCCAAGGGGCGGAACGTGCTCAACTTCTTGGCGAACGAGAGTCCGACGAAGCCGCCGAGCGAAAAGCCCATGCTATGGAACAAAGCAAAATTCAGGCACAGCAAGACTTTGCAGACGCTGTAAGTCACAAGCTCAAGAATGATGCTGAATCGGCTGAAGCACAGCGGAAGGAATTGTCTGAAGCTACCCGGCAAAGGGGCTTGCTCCTTGCTGAAGCTCTTCTTGTTTCCAAGCGGAAGGCGGACCAAGAGAGGACAGCACAGAAAATGGCCCAGCTGCGTACCGACATGCTCACTGTTGATACCACTGGTGCCGAAGATACGGACCAACGGCAGGCCGCCGCCCAAAAGACTCGTGATGAAAGATCATCTGAGTTTATTCCCACTACCATCAGTAGTGCAGGTGCTGGATCTCCCCAACATCCAGACATAGATTGCGATATATGCGTCGAGTTACAGCAGGGCGAGACTCCATCCCCATTGCAAGCACCTGCTTCGGTGACGGGTTCTGCTGTGAGCTCTCCTAGCATTCAAACTCAAGATTCCGTGTGCTCCCTCGCCGCCTGTGATATGGATGGAGCTGCAAAGCCCCGAATCTCACAATATGCCCCGTTTGATGGCGGATACGAGGAATCCGACCCAGCCATCCACGAAACGCAGGTTGAGATCTTCAGCAATGACATGATCACTTCTCCGGGCTTAGCATCGCCAGTAAATCTTGACGACTCATTCCCTCAGACGCCGACCTCAATGCTATCAACTTCAGCAGAGGTCTTCACTTCACCAACTTCCGAGTCCTCAATACCATCTCCCAATGCGAAAGTCTCTCGTTTCGAAAATGCGTTTCCGAGCTACACTCGAGGAACGTCTCACGAGAAGAAAATATCTGATGCCAATTCGACAACCTCAATCGGTGCTTCTGGGACTCCAGTCAGATCACCGGTTTTCACCGACGGTGCCAATGATCAATCTGACTCTGGCGAATCTGCGATACAGACAGCGACGAACCACGGAGATATTGCGGTGGAGTCTCCCACCTACGAAATTCTCCACAGTGCAGATGCTCAAGGCCCACAATCAGATCGAGCACGTTCTTCTTCGAGTACATCCGCCGATATTATCTCTTCTTCTCCAGAGCTGACGACCGAGCTACGCGGGGCGCAATATCCAGAGGACTTTCCCTCTCCTGCATCTTTCGCTGGAAGCCCTGATGCTTCGGCCCACGACTCCGCCCCTACCACAGCTTCCATGTTTTTACCCTCCATCCCAACCACGTCGAATCCGCCCGGAACAGACATCAGGACCCCGCCAAAGTCTCGGGCGTCATTCGAGCAGAGTTTGTCTTGGGACGATTCATGCATCTCCGTTCTGTCGCCCGTTGCTGAGGAAAAGATGCCTGCCTGTACCGAGCTGCAGAATGTAGACGGCCCCTGTGAGCCATGCGAGCTCGCAATCCGCGAGCTGACGCCAAATGAGGATAATCATCTCAATGATATACCAATCTTAGGACGCATGATACCCACCCCTCGAACTGATAGCTCGGCGGAAGATGGATCGGTATCTTCACCAAAGGGTGTGGCCAAAGTCACTTTCTATGGCACTGCAGGTCCGGGGTACTCCATCTCGGTTCCTCTCGATGGAACCTCGACTCAGACTAATGATGCACTTCCCATAACGTACGTTTCATGCGAAACAGTCAATCTGAAGGAGGAATGCATTCTCGACACTGTGGAAAACCCGCCGGCGCTCGTTGCACTGTCTCCTGGCATGTGGATGGTGGTTCCGCCCCAGACTGTGACCTCCATATCCCTCACAGGCGGATCGCCTGTCAAGCCAGCATCGAATGGTAGCCCGGGCACGGGGCTGTCACGGCGTGAAAGTCTCTCTTCGGATGCTTCCACGGTCATCAACGGTCGTGTTAGCGAATCTCCATGTTCGCCCATTATTTCCCCCATATCGGAGGATGTATCAGAGCTATTCGAGGATAACGAGCCATCACCGTCAGCTGGTCGTAAAGGGCAGCGCGCTGGGAATTTCTACGACATGAGCCCATCGGGCTCTCCGCCGGGAAAGCTTCAGCGGCCACCGCTAAATTTTCCCAAACGGGCTCCAGCTACGCCTTCATCAAGCACAGCTCCCGCGACACCGCTCGCGACCTTTGCAACACCTCTAGAAGCGCCCTTCTTCGATAACATTGACCTATCCACGACTCCAATGATGAATAGTCCCAAAAAGGCCAACAGCGACGAACAAATGCAGCAACAGATCAGCTCACTCTTAGAGTCCATCCCAGCGCGCATCCGATTAAGCACTGAAGTCGAGAGCACACCAGTTGTACCTCAGACTGTTCGTACCAAGAGGTCTCAGCGCTCCTTGACGCCGTCCTTTCGCCCCAGCTCAAGCATGAGCAACTGCAGCACCTCTCGCGCCCCAACCCCCTCCTTCACACTAGCCCCAGCATACGGCAAACCGGGCTCCCGGCACCGCCCGCAGAGTAACAATCCCGAAATCAAACTCTACCATCTGTCACGCTCTACAAGCGAGGCGCCCATCAAGCTCTTCGTGCGCCTAGTCGGTGAGCATGGCGAGCGGGTGATGGTCCGTGTCGGCGGTGGTTGGGCCGATCTCGGCGAGTATCTCAAGGAGTACGCCAGTCACCACGGGCGTAGATCAACAGTTGAAGTCAGCGATAAAGTCGAGATTCAGGATTTGCCGGCCCGGAATGTATCCTCGTCCTCGATAGCCACCATCCGTAACGGCCGAGCGAGTCCGGTGCCGTCGCGTCCGCAGAGCGTGCTGGAGCGCGAGAGATCGGCTAGTGCCTCTGGTTTGCGCGTTCGTAAGACGAGACGGTCGGTTGGTGAATTCTCTTCGTCGTCAGATTCGGTGGGCCCGGCTCGCATCTCGGGCGCCCGCTGCCCATCCACACCCATCCCGTCTACATCTCGCGCACAATCTCAGCATCACGATAGTCCTCCTTCGGCAGCCTCAAGCGTGGATACTGGCCGTAGCTCCCGGCTGAGTTGGACGGACGAAGACTTCAGCCTAGGGCTCGCGGGTCCGAAGAGTAAGAGGGTTGTCATCAGCGAGAGGGATCAGGAATGGGTAGACAGCATGAAGGAGAAAGTCAAGATGGCGAGCGCGGAAAAGGAGAAAAGAGAGCGGGGTAGCACGACGAAAGCTGGGAACGCGAAGGTGGAGGGAAAGGAGAGTTTTGGAGAGATGGAGAAGATTCGGGGGACGAAGAGGTTGTTTATGAAGAGTGGAAATTGAACCGACTCTCGCCCTCGAGTACCAAGAGAAGGATCATGGTCGGGGCGGTCTCTCTGCATTGCTGGCGTTGCGCTGCTACTGCTGCCGCGTAGATTGTACATACATTTCGGGGACGGCTTTCTACTCTTTCTGTTCTTTCCGCTCATACTTTTCTTTTCTCGTAGTTTATCTTTCAATATTGCATGCATCGCTTGCGTAGGGCAGAGGAGCGGGAGTATTACATTACCCAACTGGAGCTGGGACGGCTGGGACAGGGAGATACCAAGGTGCCACGGCGGATCGGCTGATCGGCTGGATAGGCTGGTCATGAAAAAATCAATCAATACCCCTTTTTAATTCTTCTTCTTCTTCTTCTTCTTCTTCCTACTCGCATTCTGTCTGTCTTGTCTCGATCGCTTCTTTCTTCTGTGTGCCTATGATCGATTTCGTACCGCGTCGTGTCGTGCAGTTCCCCCCCCCCTTCCACCCTTTGTCCTTATCTTTTTCTAGTAGTGTTTGAGGTTAGTACCTGTAGGTAAAGGGAAGTAAGTAAGTAAGTAAGTAAGTAAGGAAGGGAGGGAGGGAGGGAGGGAGGGAGGTGGATGTTAGATTATAAGATGTTATAGGATGTGATATGGTATGGTATGGTATGGTATGGTATGGTATGGTATGGTATGGTATGGTATGATATAATATGGTATGGTATGATGTTATAGGATATGATGTTATATTATAAGATGTGATGTGATATGATATGTTAAGGTGGATGTGTAAGTGTAAGTGTAAGTGTATGAATTAATCAATCAATCAATCAATCAATCAATCAATCAATACGGGGGGGGAAGTGAATGCTCTTCTTGTTTCCTAGCTTACTTACTCTTTTCATAGAGATCGCATTTATTTGCAATATGCTTGCTATTCCTGATTTTTGAATTCAATCTCTTGATCTATTAAATGTAAGTGAGCGTAAGAATCTAAAATTTAAATCTAAAAACCGACAAATTGAATCTAGAAATCAGCCCCTCCTCTTTGCCCTTTCCCCTTTTTCCTCTCTCTTCTCCTCTCCTCTCCTCTCCCATCTTCCCCTCTTTCCCTTCCCCACTCGCTCATTAAATCAATAAACCCCTCGACTCCTAACTCTGATTTCCGCAGCGCCTTGGTCGAACACGACCATGTTGCTGCGGAGGAAAGTGTCGCCGAGGAACTTGAGCTGGCCGTCCGAGCCGCCGATGCCGCTCTGGCAAGCGCCCGTGCCGGTGAAGTCGTCGAGGATGAGGTCGCGCGGGTCAAAGGGGAGGATGACGCCCGCGAGCTGGACGGCGAGGGTTGGGGGCTGGGCCGTGCAGGAGACGCTGTGTAGAGGGGGTCAGTGGGGTGGTGGTTTCAAGAGGAGGTGTGAGGGGGGGAAAGGAGGTGGGGGAGGGGGATGGGGGATAGGCACATACGTCCAGCCCGGGTTGGGGAGATTGGCGTTGTACACTCCTGGTGGCTTGAAAAGGCTGGCGATTTGTCGCGCGACCGGCCGCGGCACGTACGACAGCGTCACGCCCGCGTCGATGAGGGTCTGGTTGGATCCGAGCATGCCCGTGGTGTTGAGAGGCTGCCAGACAGGGGCCGGGTGCGAGGCGAAGGGGTCGGTGGTGCTGGTGCTGAAGAGGTAGGCGTCAGGTGTGATAGCGTAGGCTTCTATATTGGGGGTTTATAAATGATTAACGATGTTGACATTGATAAGGTGTACTACTGACGCTAGTGGACAGGTTTGAAAGTGAGGGAGGTGAGGCAAGATGGTCAGAGGAGGAGGAACACTGGAACGGAATGGATGGGTAGGGTATGCATACGGTATTGTGGCCGTGGTAGCGATCCGTAGACGTAACCTGGTCCCTCGGCGATATATTCGATTGGGAGCCTGGCCGTTTGACCGCGTGTGGCGACTGGTGCCAGACCACCAAGTGCGAGATATCCATCAGGTCGATTGTTCGCAGGCACAGCAGCTCGTTGAATAGCGAGCGTGAACACTGGGGCCACGAGATTCTGCTTCCACATACTCGTGAAGATGGGGTCATATGGAAGTTGGTTTGCCGGTACATCAGCCGAGAGGTTCGTTCCCGAGAAAGCGGACGTACTGCCCAACGTCCCCGTTAGTCTCTTGATATTGTCGTTCTCTCTGACACGATGATTTTGCTGCTCCGGGAGTGGAAAACGTACAGAGCAGGGTAAGCAAGCCCCAACATCCCACTCGAATCTAAGCAGGGGTCGGCCACAATATTTGCTCTATCTGCAACGGCAATCTGGGTCTTGACGCTATAGGAGGCACCATGTCAGCACACGAACCTCACACCGGAAGGCCGAAAGAGAAGAGCAGGGCGTACGTGATGCCACCCATGGTAGCCTTCACCATCCCGAAATAGCCGCTCTCGGCCGTGTAATCGCCGTATTGGATATTGAAATTCACTGCGCTCTGTCAGCTCCCATCTCGCTCTGGAGCCTGAGCTCGGTCCATAGATTTGATGTCGGCTTCCAATCTCTTTCGCCCAACTGAATCCCGGAATCACTAACCGTCAGGAATGCGCTTGAATTCTTTCCCCGGTGTATACTTCTTGGCCACAGGAGGGGAGCAGACATCTTGGGTGGTCGGGCTGCCGTCGTCGCTGAGACACGTGAAATTTGACGCGAGGATCCAAGTGTCGGAAGAGCCGGTGTCGACGGCCAGATTATACGACCTGCCGCCTATCGTGACGGGAACCGACCAGCCCTGACCCTAGAGTTGAAAGCATGTATTAGCCATGAAGGGGGGGCGAGTGGATTGAGGAGGAATGGTCTATGATGGTCCATACTTTTTGTTCTTCGTTCAACCCTGCAAGACCGTAACCCCAAAATCTTTTATCGTTCCCTTTGCCCTTTCCTTTCCCTCTCCCTCTACCGTTGCCTCTCTGACGTGTGAGAGGAAAGAAAGTCGTGACATTCACATCCGGGCTCGGTGCCCTCAGATTAAGCGATGCCCGCCAATTCTGCTGCAGTTCCGATGGAGCAGCAGTCGAGAGGCCCGACGCCGCTAGAAGAACCAGAACAGAGAAACGCATTGCTGTGTAAGAAGAAGTCAAGTGGCCTGAAGAATCAAGCAGAAGTATAGATAAAAGGGTTGGAAAGAGGGTTGTAACTGGGCACGACTCCTCGTTTATGTATGTATTCTTCCAGAAGGGCACTAGAACAAAAACAACCTGCTTCCAGAACACGGTTAACATCCCGGGAGAATATTAAAAATGTCAAGAAGCGGACCCGAATCAGCCAGAGGCTCGGCAGAGAACAATACGAAGCAGGAGGACAATCTGAAGGTTTGCCAGGGAGAACTGGCCGAGGTGGATCGGGTGGGGAGGGGCTCATGTACAAGGACAATGGGAATGAGGACTTGGAATGTCGGAGGTTCGAATTCCGAAGCGATACCAGTGCAGAGAACGAGATCAGGGGTTCAGGTGGTGCAACATGGAGCTGCACGTGCGATGGGTGCTCGCATAAGAACTCGGGACCGGAGACGCGCGCGAGACTTGGGAAATTGGATGGACCGCGTATTGACCGCCGGTGAAAGAGAGGGATGCAAGCGAGTTTGGAATCTTTTCATGATGAGGGTGTCGTTGTATATTGAATACAATATATGTACATATATAGAACTGGTTTTACGAGACATCGGCAAATAATCATGCCTTCATGAGCGGTTGGCTTGGTTTGGGTGTCTCTATGTTGTGCTTCTTGTTTTCCGAAGTTGATCTTGAAAGGCCAAAGCGTATATCCTGGATCTGCATCATATCGTGGTCAGTCCAGCAATGCGGCTTTCCTCGAGCGAGCGCCCACCGATTCAGGCGCAGAACTGGCTGTAACTGTTCATGGGGCAGGGTCTTCCCAATATACTTCCAGTGCCGATGAAGGCTGCCGACGCGACTCCGCACGGCGTCGATTCTCCTTTCGACATAGGGCCTGGCACCGATTGGGCTGTCATTTCGTTGGACGATAGCTTTCGCTACCTGCCATTCCCATCCGGCCTGCATAACCCACGGTCACGAAATAGTGCCACAGCACGGATTTTACCGGTGCCCCGGATGGGTATGTGGCGTCCATCGTGTTCCTTAACGGTAGAGGATCCATCCTCTTGCTCTGGAGCATCGCGCCAGATCTCAACGCGGTGTTGTCGCGAGCCGTTTTGGATGGGAGGACCAGATTTGAGCATTAGCTCAGCGACCCTCGCCGCCTGCGCAGCATCTCCAACCTCCGTCAGCAAGACGCTCGACTGGTACATCAAGTGGAGGCTCACGAGACGCAGGTATAATGCGTCTTCGCTTGCCGTGTCTGTCCGCTCCAGCGCGTAGTTGAAATCACTCGGTACCGTAGGCACGAGTGCACGCCTAGGCTCGAAGTTGCGCACGGAACGGGTCGTCGACGTGTTATACTGTTGTTCGGAAACATACGGTGGGTTGGAAACAATCAGGTCGAATTCCTGCGGTAAGCGAGACAGCTCTGCATTCCTGAACACATTTGCCCGGCCGAACTGGACCTGCGGGCTATGTGTATCATCGTCCAGGATGGCAACGGGGTCTATGTTTCCAGCAGCAACGTTCCGAGCGAGATTCTCGCGAGCCAGAGCGACCGCGACACGGCTCTTGTCCAGCCCCCAGACGTGGAGATGTGGGAACTTGGGATGCAGCAAGGAGTGAAGCAGCAGCGATATGCAGCCGCTCCCGGAACAGAGATCCAGGATCCGCAGCGGCCTTTCTGTCGTCTGCCCACGGCTGGATTGCACCAGGTCCGGGTGCAACTGATCTTGATTCAAGAGTTTCGCGAGGTAGGCCGTGTAAGATTCCGTCTCGGGCCTGCAGCACCACCGCAGCCGGGTCACGGTCAGTCTTGTCACGTGATGTCACGTTTTTTTTTTCTTTCTTAATATTTGGTTTTCGTACCTGGGAATGAGCACACCAGGACGACATTTGAGATCCAGGTCTCCGAACGGTTGAGAGCCCAGGATGTACTGTAAGGGTTCCGCCCTGGAGCGGCGTTTGCAGAATTCGAAGAGAAGTTTGCGCGACTGCTGGGCATTCGCGGGTTTGAGTGTCTGGACGTGTTCTCTCAGCCACCTCAGCTCATTGATGGCGGAGTCGAGGGTGCGAGCGCCTTGGAGGACGAGGGGGAGGAGGGGCGACTTGTTGTAGGCGTGACGGACGAGGGAGGGTGGGAATCGAGGCATTTAGGGGGGGTTATTATATGAATAAAATGAGCAGGAGGATGGAGGTGGGTTATTGCATCTTCCACTACCGGTGAGGGTTGATTGAAGAGGAGGATGGGGACGGTGGTATCACGTGGACAGGACGTGACAGGGACGAGTGAACAACTGTTAACGAGTGACCGAGATTTGGAGATGGTGTTGTTGATACGAATCCGATATAGATGAGGCGGGGGGCCGAGGCGAGGGACTAAGGTTTTTCCGCACGGGGGCCGGGCCGGAGGCGGATGCGGACACTAAGCCGGATCGAAGGCGCATGGCGTCAGATAAGACTTTGCTTCTTGGCATGAAGCTTTTCTTGTCTTCAGCCTTATAACACAAGACACTACGTACCACCGGTATACCTACATACACTGTACTGTCAGCATGATCGCACCTTCATCTCTTCAACTCAAGCGCAGACCTAGATGTATCTCCTCGGCTTAAAGCTCAGCTCGGCCCAAGCCGGGACCGCCGCTAGCTCTACTAAGCCGGCTGCAGGATGCTGATCTCAAAACTGGTTTGGACAAAGAAGAGGGGAGCGATGATGTATCACGGAAGGCGGGGTAAGTAGGTAAGTACCAAGGTACCTACTCTGTACAGTACTGTACCTACAACTACCATTTCCTGTCCTGACAGTTGGACGGCGGGGCGGAGAAGCGAAGCACGGTCATCGGGTCGTGGGGTGATCAAGCTGAGGACTGGGACTAGATCGAACTAGACTGGACTAGAACTTTGATCCCGGAAACTGCCTTCGATGCGCTCTTTACCCTTATTCCCTCGTTCCAATCAATCCATACGGACCTGCAAGCAAATGTTTCATATTCCATACTATGCCCACCTAGACATGATCAGTGATGACGTGTCTTATATCTGGATCACCAAGGCCCAACTAATAGGCCTGGATGGACCCCGCTGACGTCGGGTCCCGCTAAATGTGGCGTGAACCCCGCTTGCCCTTGAGATGGCAGGCAGCATTTGCGGCAGGTGCCAGGAGCAGATGGTGAATTCGGAGTCGAAAGGCCTGTACTCCTCAGTATAGCTCTTGCCGTTTGCGAGCAGGTGAATGATTATTACGATCATGTGAAGACACTCGCACGTCATTGCCTTGCTGAAGCTGAATTTGGACGAGAAGCCTCAGGCTGCCCCCCCATCCTCGAAGGACTACTTAACAACGGCCTCTCCCCTTCTTTTCCAACTTTCCTTTCATCCACCACCAACCTCATTTCACACTCATACCAACTCCATCTCACTCCCACATCCCACACTCCCACACTCCAACCAAACAACCAACCACTACCCACCCAAACTCAATCAAAATGGAGACCGTCAAGGTATGGAATCAACTCTTCCCTCGTCTTCACTACTCTCTCCCTCTCTCCTTTCCCCCTATCTCAAGCTGCCCCCCTTCTATTCGATAGCACGCTGTTCCTTCAGCTTCCCTTCACCCTCACCTCCGACCTCACCTTCCACCTCACTTCTGATCTGCGGCTAACATTCTCCCGCCAGAACGCTGCCAACTACGTCGCCGAGTCCGTCCAGGGCGGTGGTGCTCAAGCTTCCAAGGAGGCCAACAAGCAAGTGGCCAAGGACTCGGATGCCAGCTTGACCAGCCGTGCCTCTGCTGCCAAGGATGCCGTCTCTGACAAGATGGACCAAGCCACCCACGAGACCAAGGCTGATGTCCACAAGGGTACGTTCTCCAGTCCTCCAGTCCTTCTTTCCCTTTCCCACTCACTTCAAGAGTACATTCTAACAACTCTGCAGAGGCTGCCAAGCACTAAATCGGTCGTCCCTCACTTCACCAACATACTTCGTGACTGTACCATGATGGGATAGGGGCGTATGGGATGGTAGATGCAACGGCATGGATTTCTCTGAGGGTGGTCTGATGGACATCCAATCACAATAGTCTAATGACAGACATTGTTACCAGACGTGCTTGACTGTGCCGTGCTCCTCGTGGTTGTGACATGAGGTTTGCATTGCCAGCTCGTCGTTGGTAGATACTCTTCCTCCCACGACTGAAGCCACCATGCTACTGGCAAACTTGCACTCATTTCCTGCATTCGTTTTACATTGGTATAATCTGTATTCTGTGTCCCTGCTATCCCTTCCGTTGCTTCGCCCTCCGGAAACCTAAATCCTTCTATAACCACAATTCTTTCCTCTATCCCATTCTTACCTAGTATGACGTCAAGATTTCGAATTTGAAGCTTAGATCGAGAGGCTGTGAGCAAGATTTTAAGCTTTTTGAACTCCAAGTCAGCTAGTTGATCGACCAGTCTGAGCTCCTGGACTGACTTGGTTTACTTTTGAGAGCTGGCTAGGGATTTTGATATAGCTTTCTTGCAAGTTTGCATGCTTTCCTCCTTTTAATTCATCGATGGTGAAAGTGAATTCTTGCCGAGCTGGCTAACTGGCTGGGTGGAATAGGGGCCTGTGAAGCGATAAGGAGAAATGAGGAAAGAGGCTAGCATGATTATAAATAAGGTAGGTAGCAATCGGACCTTTCTTGGCGGTTTTACTTTAGTATAATACGTAACATGAACACGGTATCCCTTCGCTAGACTATGATGTATGTCTGTGATGTATGCGAGGAGAGTGGAAAATATCTCTGAGGGGGGGGTGGGGGGGATGGATAAGTATTCTAAAGTAGTCTCTGTACTGCCATGGCGTTATTCCTTGGGCTGTAATAGAAGATGTGACGCGCTATTGCAGGGTCACTTCTAAAGCAGGCTCTTAATATCTCAAAAGTCTCTATCGCTGTCAATACTCTCATTGCCATCAATCCAATCACTTCTACCCAGTATAAAAAGATTATTTCAAATGTAGTTGGTGAACTTTGCCTATTCATTTCAACAGCTTTTTTTTTTTTTTTTTTTTTAAAAAAAAAAGCAAGGTTAGAGTGAATTCTTGCTTAGGATAAATCACGCCGCGCTGTGGAAGAGCTTGCATACATATTCTTTGAACTCGTTCAGAAGCTAATCCTCAAATCGGACCTACCGGCTGGATATCTGTTAGCAGTTGATAATCTGGAAAGAAAAGGGGGTGTCTGCTGATAGCTTGTTCGGAAATTCCGATTGGAATGCACATTTTGGGATAGGATTGTTTTGTTTACTTTCTACTGCTTCTCGGGTAGCATCGGGGCTAGCGACTGTTGTCAATCGCTTGAATGCTATCACTGACATTGATATTATCATCTTACTTCGAAGCGCTCATTAGAAACTTGTTTTTTATTTTCTTCTTCTTTTCTTTTTTTTTTTTTTTTTTTTTTTTTTTGAAGTTCAGAATTCCAAGTCCCGAGATTAACACATCAGTTTGGAAGAGGCGTGGAAGAGAACCCATTTGGAGCTTGTGTAATACTCATCTGCTCTGCATTAAGTTTCGCACGTATCCGGCACTTTTCCAGTCAGTCAAAATCGGATCAGGACATTTGAAGTACCTGCTTTATAAGTAGTTTTCATATGAGTACTGTTACTCCGCGAATTTCTCGTAAATGCATCTTCGATCTCTAATCTCAAGGCGAATCAGGCAGCTGTGAATTTGGAATGTATATGATTGCGCGAATGAGAGCTTACGCTGTGATTGAATTATCACAAGGCTAAATGGAACTAATCAATTTCAATTGGGAAAAAACACTTTCCGAGGTATTTCCGGAGATGGAAACTACCCAAGAAGGAATATAAAAATATCCTTCATCGCATCAGATTTTTCTATTATTTAAGCAACCGTCTTCTTTGGGATTTAGCGATTCGATCAGAGACTGATGTGCTCTCTGTTGAACAAGGGCTTACTTTGGGATGATTACAATAAGCTCCCTAGTTGACGCGTCAGATGCGAAGGGAGGTGAGTGTTAGTGCTCAAGTTCCTCTTTGCAGCTAACCGCAAAAGATTCTTCCACTGCCGCAGAACAATTTTCGATGCTATTCTTCTAGTCAGACTTATAACTTTTATTTTTTTATAACCAATGTACTCCTACGTATTGATTTCTGCATATTGAAGACCAGTGATCTTGGAGTTGCTATGTTTTCCATAGCAAGTATAGAGATCGTGACTTCCAAGTAAGCAGTTAACGTTGCTCGCTCTAAAATAGAATATAATCAACAAATCAAGCAGCACATTATCTGTCCCACGACTCTGAAAACTCCAAGATGAGTCTGCCATGCTCGCCTCAGTTCATCGGTGGAGCAATCGTTTTTCTGTGAAAATATCCGCTTGAACCTACCTACCTTATCTCTATAAACAGCTAGATTATGTTGTAGAGCAAAAAAATATATTTACGAGCATTTTCCTGGATTTCTAATGGTGGCTTGAAGACTTGGTAGCTAATTTACACAACTTATCTACTGTCAACGCAGTTTTCATTATCATTGATTGGTTTACTCTGGATTTGCTTGGGGTGTTAAGCAGATACGCTGCTACCTATTCTGTAAGATATGCCGCCCTAAATGATAGAATCAGGAGTGCGGAAGGTGTAGTAGATTAGGTGTGAGAGTACTGAGAGCTATAGTAAAGGAGTAGCCAAGAGACCAGCCAAGAGGCTAGTCCATACAAGGGAATACAGGCAGCAGAAATATGTCCGGATCAAAACTAGAGAAGAGAGGATGATTATTCTTCTAAGAGGTACAGAAGGCTATATACTTCCAAGGTGCGCTAGTGAGTCGTGATGTCATTAATGATGGTCTTTCCTTCCCCGAGCTTTCTGCAGCAGGCAGAACCCAATATTCCAACACTAAATGATCGTTACGCACTGTGAGGATCGGTATGATGGCGCAGTCAGGGGGCAAGCATTCGGGGTGCATGTTTGCTATTTCTCAACGAAGCCTAGTGTTTCTTAAGGAAATCTAGAATACAAGGAAGCTATCTTTATAAGTGTGCTTAGGCCTTGGTCACGCCTTCCGCACTCCCCACCCCCGGTGGTGCCTGGATAGGGTCGGCCTGGGCACTGGGGATAGCTGTCTCTTACAATACATGTTTTTTGCGCAAAGAAGTACGTGGATCGATAGGAGTGGAATCACATTATCTGAGGCAAGTTGCAAATCTTGAACCAGATTCTCGGGGCTGAAGAGAAATAGCGGCTGCACCTTTTCAGCCAGTTGCTAGCCGAAAGTCAACAAACATTTTTCGAACTTTTGAGTATAACCCCAAGGAAAGAAGATGGTAATGTGGTAGAGTTGCGGCTTTGTATTTGTTTTGTCCATGTATATAGTACTAATGCTAAGCACCTTTATCACGTGGGTGCGCTGCATGCTCTGGCTTTGCTAGGCACGTGGTTAGATTACGTGCAAGCTCTTATATAAACGAATAGTTGATTCCTTTTTAAACTAGCACAATATTATTATATAATATAATATACGTACTTATAATATACATTCGAGTGCCTTTCGATCGTCTTCCTTTTCCTTTTTTATTTACTTACGATTTTATTATAGCTATATTTATATATATCTTTTGATTTGACGTTAAGTATATATCGGAGCTTTTCCCTTTTATATATATTTGATGATTTACGTAAAGAATCGAACTAAAGGTTAGTCTTTATACTCTTTTTAAATTTGCTTCCTTTGCGAAAAGCTATATATTCGGAGTTTACGTTATACGCTAAGCTATTAATTATATGCTTTTGCGGTGCTTCTTCGTAAAGTATTCGATATACGCTAAGCTAATAGTCAAGTGCTTTTGCATATAAGCTTTAAAGCTATTGCTTTAAAAGCGATCTTTTTTCGATTTATATCCGTCGAGCATGCTATTCGGTATATTCGATAAGTACTATTTAAGAAGTCGTTACTTTAGTTCGAAGATCGAATTAGCTAAAGTTCAATTCGGTATTTATAAAATACTATTTATTTAAACCACTTTGCACGGCGATCCGCTCGAAGTACTATTCGTTTAATATACTTTACTTTTTTCAATTCAATATCGCTTTTAATACGAGTTTATTGCTTTTTCTTCTTTAAAAAGATAAGCAATAATTAAGTACCGGAAATACTACGCTAAGCTTAAAAGATTAAAAATTTAATACTTATTTTGTAACGGAGATTACGCATAAAAACTTCGAATTGCTTTCGAATATCTTTCGCTTCGGCAAATAAAAGATACGACGAGCGAAAATAAGTATTATGCAATTCGAAACCGTTTCGATATCGTATTATATTAAAAGCAAGCTATATGCTTGCACGGAAGCTCGGCTATTACTCGACTTCGTTTTTATTTCGATATACTTAATCTCGGCAATTACTCTTCCGCTTAATACGAATCTTACGTTATAAAGTTAAACGTATTATTAATATCGTTTATTATATCGACTTGATTTCGATTATTTAGCTCGAAGCGATCGACATTCGACTTTTTAATAAATCACTTTCGACGCATCGGGATTTTATATTTTTATAACTTTTTTTTATATATTTAATATTTATTATAAATTGTATTTATTTTATTTTTATTATTCATTTATATTTATATTATTTTCGTTTCTTTTTCGCATTCGTTTTGAAACACTTTTACACTTTAATCGATATTTATCAATTTAACTTAACGGGCTTACGTTAAAGCTCTCGGAAATTAAAAAAAAGCTATAACTTTTTCGACTTAAAAGGATTTCGGACTTAATAAAAATGCTACTCGCAAGCTAATCGAAGACGAAATGAAAAGGATTTAAGCTTTTTTACTTTTCGTAAATGCTTCGAATTACGTAAGTATTCGTAGATTTCTTTTTAAACTTAAAGCTTTTAAAATGCTTGCTTTCGATAAAGCTAATATTACAAATCATATTCGCTAG